AAACCGTAGGTAGAGAGGGAGAAGAGGACAACAAACGAGGGGCTGTGACAAACTGTTTCGTCGGAGTTTCACCGACTCATCAGGAGGCTGAACCCATATGAAACTCCGACGAAACAGTTTGTCACAGCCCCTCGTTTGTTGTCCGCTTCTCTCTCTCTGCCTACGGTTTACCGGGCAGTTCTGTTTGTGACGATATATATATTGTCACATCACTACAAACTAAAAGAGATCGTCACAAACAGAACTGCCCGGTAAACCGTAGGCAGATATATATATAGACCCGGCCGAGGAAGTGGTCCCGAACTCTAGTAGCCTAGGTAGTAGTTACATAGGGCAAAAGGAGGCCAGGAATCGTTCCACATCTCAACCCGGAAATCTGTGGCCTTTACCCAGTTTAGGCTCTGCTGGAAACCGGGTCCAGCATCCCTGGATAATGCAACCCCAAAAAGCAACAGATGGACCAATAACCAGAAAACATGATAAGAAGAAGACAGCAGACTGCAACCTACCTACTCCACAGCCAAACTAATACAAACAATTTGCAAGGAACGTGGTCCTATCCCCCCTGCTCCCTTCTCCCATAACCTCCTCGCTTGAAATGCAGCCTGTGCTTAGAAGTCCCCTTAAACCCTAAACCCTCCTCGCCCCTTCCCCATTCCCTTTTCCGTTCTTAAACCCTAAACCCTATTGTTTATCCCATCTATCCAGAACCCCGCCAGTGCTTTTTCAAGACCTGTTCGACTATGTGTCCTGTATACTCAGTTCCATACTCCAGCTTCGTTAAGCCTTGAGGCCTACTCTAGCTTTCTTAAACCCTAAGCCCTACTTCTAATTTTATTTAATCCAACCTCCCTTACCCTTCCTTCTAGCTGGAGCCCTCCCTCCTCCATGTGCAGAAAAGCCTCGATCCCTGAATGGTGGCTACTTTACCTCCGCCTAGAGTCTTTTGAACAAAGCGGCCCTTAAAGCACCAGTACACCACACATCGGCCCGCGGGTGTCAGCACGAAACCCGCACCACTTCGGAGGCCGCCAATCTTTTTTTTACAACGGCGCCCCACGCCATGCTGCCCCTCCGAGTTTTGCTTGTGGCGACAAAAACTT